TGGTGTTTGGCGTGCCCCCCCGGGGGGGGGGGGTGATTTCTCGCTTTCTGTCTCTCTGTCTCTTTCTGTCTGTCTGGCGAGCGCACGTGCCCTATAGTGAAAAACCTCTCAAAAAAAAAAAAGAAAAGAAAAGAAAAACATTAATTTCAGGCCAGCAAGTAGTATGGCGGTTAAAGCACTGGATTCCCATGTGGTTGACCACAGTTCGAGTCTCGGACCTGGTAGCTTGAAAATCACCCAAGAGAAGAATGGAGGAGAAAGAATTGCAACATGGCCATCCCCCCTCTATGGGGTGATTTCTCAGTTTCCCTCTCAGTCTTACTCTGTCTCTAGTGAGTGCACGTGCCCAATGGCAAAAACCTTAAAAAAAAAAAAAAAAAAAAACCTAAAGAAAAAAATAAATTTCTGTTTTGAAACATATCCAAAGAAAATTAAAAGTGTAGTTCCAGGGGTTAGCAGGTGGTGTGGTTGTTAAGGGTGCTGGACTCCCACATGGCCTATAGTGGTTCAAGTCCCAGACCTGGTGACTTGATTTCTCACTTTCCCTCTCTCTCTCTCTCTCTCACTCTATCCCTCTCTGGTCAAATTAAAATAAATAAAGTTAAATGAAATAATTATATAATATATATATATATATATAATGTGTGTATATATATACATTTCCATAATATTAGGTACTAATAATAACTATTCTAAATGTGTAGATCATTTATTTTTACTGATGTAATAGAAATAAACATGAATGGATCCTTAAGAACTCACTGCACGAATCATTTGGATTTTATGTTTATTCTTTTCTGTTCCAGGTGCTGGTCTCAGCGTCAGTGATAATGAATCTGGTCAAGGCAGCCAGGAAGGAGGCACCTTGACTGACTCTCAGATCGTAGAACTCAGAAGGATACCCATCGCTGACACCCACCTCTAGCATCTTACTAACCATTAGAACGAGGGTACTTCAGTATTTGTGTTGACGTTTATACTAAAGTCCTAAGTGCATGCAGCAGTGTAGTCAGCTGTGGACTGGACTTGATGGTTAACACAGAAGCGAGCGCCGTATTTGGAATATAAAGTACTTATCTTTGTGTAACCTGAATATTCAGTGCTCTAATGAAAGCCTGACTCAATTTAAATGGAATGTACATATTCCATGAATAGTAGTTTGTTTTTTTTAATAATCCCATGTGGCTAACATTGTTTAATGAAAGTAATGATCAATAAAAGCAATAGAATCGATGTGGTGTCACTCAGGCTCATTGTTTATAAAGAAATGTTCATGGGCCAAAAAAAGCAAATTCTCTATCTGGCCGTTGTCTTCCAGCATTGATACAGCTAATCCAGATTCAAGTCTTCATTGCATCTAGAAGAGTTCATTTCCTGAAAATCATAAAAATCATCCATTGGTAATTTTGCACGCACATGTTGATGAGGTACTGTGGGTGGCAAAGTCTTTCATCAACAGTGTGCGTTTCTGCTCGTTGTGAAACTAGGAATCTGATTATTTTCCAGAATGAATGTTCTGTCCTCAGTTAAAAATAACTCCATCAAGGATTTCACACAGCTAAAAAGAGGATCATTTGAATAGTACAGAGTTTTCCTGTTTTTAATTTGCCAGAGGGCATATGTGCTCACCCTGGGGTGGGGACAGGGAGAGAAAGCAAGAAAGCATTCCCTATGGGAATCCCTTCTCCATTTCTCCCTACTTTCAGTGGATTTTGCGCATGCACACACACGTACCCGGTGTGTTTCTCAAACCACAGGGTCCGAGACTCCAACCACCTAGTAGATTCATGTGGGATCCAACCACCTTAAACCACCAGGCCATGGGCTGGCCCCAGAGTTTGTTTTAAAGAACAGTTTCTTGTTTTGCATTTTTTTTTTTACTCTGTCTTTGTCTCGGAATGAGAAATCAGAAACTCTATCCCAGAACAAACACTGCTGTGTTCACGATGATTTCATTGACTGTGATTCCAGAACAGTCATTACAAACAGAATAAATGTGTCCTGAGGAAGGTTTTTGACCTTTAATTTTGAAATTTGATTTCGTTCTGGAACTTTGAGTTAATTTTCAAACGTTGATATGTTTTAAGGTTTAATTAATAGTTTCCATGTCTCTCAAATCTGGTGAGGGAAGTTTAAATATATATGAAAATATGACTGCAAAAAGAAAATGCCATTCAAGAAAGCAGTCCCCAAACGATTTCACCTTGTATTTTTCAATATTAAGATTATCCGTGAGGGACCAGTGGATGGCGTAAAGGTTGCATCACTGGACTCCAAACTGTAGTTGATTGCAGTTTGAGTCCTGGACCTGGTGCCTTAAAACTCACACCGGGTGTGTGCGCCTGTATACCCAAGATCCCGAGAGAATGGAGAAGAAGGGATGGCAGCACGGCCATCTCTCCCGAGGGGAGGTGATTTCTCACTTTCTGTCTCTCTGTCTCTCTCTGTCTTTCTCTCTCTGTGAATGAACATGCTCTATAGCAAAAATCTCTCTTTAAAAAAATTATTTTTGAATTTAGTGTTTATGCTTCTCGGCACATCTGTTTGAGGATAAGCCTCCCCCGGATGAGTAAATGATGTTGACCTTATCAAAGTAACTGGATAACAGAGTGATTTCCCCACATCGCCTGACCTTGGCAGGAACAAAGAAATCACCAAGGTCATTCCTACGTCCCTTTCCATTGTTAGTCATGGACTAAGTCTCCCCAGTGCTTCTCTAGCAGGATGTCCCAGGAGTAGTGTTTATTTAAAAATGGACCAAATCGCGGGGCTAAGAAACACTTCCATAATCTTGAATCACTTCTAGTCTTTTTGACTAACTAGTGAAACAAAGTACAACTCAGATGAGTCATATCCTTACTGATAAAATTTAGTTGGTGCACTGATTTTACTTCATTCTTCTCACCCCACACAAATTTTTTCCCATAAAAAAAATTTCAACACTGTAGTAGAAAAACACTCACCTTTACAACATCTTAGAAATCCTCAGCTGCCTTATTAAACTATAGTGCGCAAGAGCTAGCACATACAATGAACACATGTACAGTATTCTTTTTTCTCAAAGAATAATTTCATTCTATTTTATTTATTTATTTATTTTTTCATTTGACCAGAGAGAGACAGAGAGAGAGAGAAGGAGAGAGAGAAGGAATGTGAGAAAGCAAGCCGCCGCCAGGTCCAGGACTCAAACCACAGTCAGCCATGTGGGAGTCCAGTGCAGCCAACCCTCATGCCACCTGCCAGCCCCATGTATAGTATTCTTAAGGAAAAAAATTGTTTTCATGGTGATCCGTCATAATTCAAATCACCTTGACAAGTTAGGCAACTAGCTTAATTAGGAATTTACTGTACTAGCGCTAAAAGAGTTTAACCAAGACTATATTCAAAACCACCCAGATAGTTACTAATGCTTCAGGATCATTGATGGTTAAGAAACATCTTTTATACATGTAAATTACATAGTTTTAGGAGGAAAAGCAAATGGAGAATAAACCCTGTTTCTTGTCATCTATGCTAATGGAGTGAGGTTGTCAAATACTATTGCCGCGGTCTTAGGAATTACTATGGGATGCCTCAGTTTCGTTCCTAGCCCGGTCCCTGTTGGGACATGGAAACTGGGTCTAGCTATGAGCACCAGTTGGAGCCGAAACATGACAGCGCTCAAGAAAATTATTGACATTTCCAGCTCATGAAATATATTTCAAGTCCTGTGAGAAAACATAAGTAATCATTGTTTTCTAATAGAGAAAATAATGTCACTCTCAGCCAAGTTAAACTGTATTTTTGCCTGTAAGTCTTTAGGAGTTAATGAGCAAAATTACAAATCTGATTTTTTTTTTTAATTTAGGAATGCACTACTAGCATTTGTTTTGTAGTACTAATGAGGGAAAGACCCAAAGTCATTTCAACATCATTTATTTTGGATTTGGAATATGATTATATTTATTTCAAAGATAAGGGTGAGTGGGGGGTGGTGAGGAGGAGGATCTTGGAAAAAATATATGGGAATTCAGAGCAAGAGCTGCAAGAAAAACTATTATAATAATTTCTATTACTATTAATAATGCATGCTTAAAAGATACTTTGAAAAGCAGATTTGTGAAGTATATAAAACTGCCATTATCCTTCTCGTACTGTATATCTTTACTCTTTCATCTATTGAAATTACTTTGAAGACTTTTGCATATTACAGAATGTTAGTTGTGGGCCTTTAACGAAAAACTTGAAAAAGTAGGTAAGAACAATAACACCAACTAGAAAGGTGATCAAGAATTGTCAGGACATCATTCTATTACTGAATGGTCTATCAAATTACAGGTATTATATGAGAAATGGATGGTTTTCCCTTTTAAACGATCATCTTTAGGGCCAGCCCTATGTCCTAGTGGATAAAGGAGCCAAATCCCACATGGAATACCATCTTGCTCAAGTCCCAGTCTGAACAGCTTGAAAAATGCACCAGGTATGTGTGTGTGCATGCCCCAGATCCCGGCAAGCTGGAACAATGGAGAAGAGATGGCCATGCCCCACTGGATGGGTGCTTTCTCCCTCTCTGTCCTGTAAATGCACACACACTATAATGATTTTTTTTAAAGTCATCTTTATTAAGGTTCATTTGTGCTATCACATTCTGTGGAATATTTTTCTTTTTTAAGGTGACTTGTATGTCTTTGTATATATTATACACCACATTTTCTTTATTCATCTGTCAGTGAACATAGGTTGTTTCCATATCTTGGCTATTATGTATAGCGCTGCAATGAATATGAATATTTTTTGAGATCCCCGAAAGATCTCTTAAAGAGATTTCTTTAGCATAAAAACAAAGAAGTGGGATTCTTGTATTATATGGTAGTTTTTTTGTTTGTTTGTTTGTTTGTTTCTTTTCTGTTTGTTTCTTAGTTTGTCCAAGGATGCTTGTGGGGAAAAAGAGAGAAGGAAAAGGAGAAAGCATTCCCCATGGGAGATGGTCACATTGCAGTCCCTTCATTTCTTGTTTTTGGATTTTGGGCATGCAAGCACACATGCCCAGAGTGTTTTTCAAGTTGCCACATTTGAAGACTTGAACCATGCAGTTGGCCACATGGGACCCAGCCACTCTAACCAGCATGCTACCAGCTGACCTAATAGTTTTGTTGTTAATATGTTGTGGGACCTCCATACTTTTATAGCAGTTATAGCATTTTGCATTCCCACTACAGTATACTTGAGTTCCAGTTTCTCCTCACACTCACCAACACTTGTTCTTTGTTCCTTTGATAGTAGCCATTGTGACAGATGTGAGGTGATACCTCATTGTGGTTTTGATTTGCACTGATGACTAGTAATATTGAACATTTTTTTCATATGCCTATTGACCACTTGTATATCTTTTTTTTTTTTGGAGAGGTTTTTGCCATAGGGCGCGTGCGCTTGCCAGACAGAGAGAGACAGAGAGACAGAAAGCGAGAAATCACCCCCCCAGGGGGGAATGGCCACGCCGCAATCCCTTCTCCTCCATTCTCCTCTTGGGTTCTTGGGCACACACGCACACGCGACCGGCGTGAGTTTTAAGCTACCGGGTCCGGGACTCAAACTGCGGTCGACTGCATGGAAGTCCAGCAACAGCCATTACACTAACTGCTTGTCCCGGCAAAAACCTTTTAAAAAAAGGAAGAGACAAGAAAAAGAAGAAGAAACAGAAGTCATTGATCAAGCCTTAAAAACAAAAATAGGTGCAGCCACAGTGGCACAGGGGTAGGACACTGCCCTGCAAGATTGCAGCTACGTGGAAGGCCTGGGTTTAGATCGCAAACCAACCTAAATGTGCTGGGTGTGGTGATGGACACCTGCAATACGAGCTAACTTGGAAGCTGGGGTGAGAGGATCATCAGGACCTTGTCACAAACATCTCTCTCTTTGGACTTCCTAGCAATGCAAATATGTGAGTGAAGGAGTCACTACAGCAGCACTATAAAATATGTGACAAATTTGGAGTATGGGAGTTCCGAAGAGACTGAAAAAGTGTAATATAACTCTAGACAGAAGTCTGCCTAGTTTATTGAAAAGTTATTTTTACCAAGCAAAAGAATAGTTCTGGAAAACTTTTTTTGCAAGAAGCCAAGATTTTTCTAAAACTACATTAAGTTTACCATGCTGTGACTCCATGTAAGCAAACTTAGATACGACTCTATGGCTACAAAGAGGATACTTAATATTTTCTACTTATAAAATGCAGACCCCTAACTTTTCTTAGCTCCTGGGCACTAAACTTGCATTTCTATAGTTCTGTCTCAACCAGGCTACTGTAGTCTATAGACAAAGTTCGGTGAGTTTTGTAT